TAATGGTTATATTCATTATAACAACTTAGATAAAACACATTTAACTCTTGTCCCCTGAGCAAATAATTTACAAGGCAAAACATGGTAACAATACACCCATTTGTAAAATTTCAAAAGAAAGATATAAGGTAAGAGGTAATATTTAAATTCAACAACATAAACAGGATTAATAAAGTAAATGAGAAAGAATATATCACCAAACAACATTACCTTGTATAATGAAATCATGAAGAACAAAAAATCACTTACCACAAACAGCCTGTTTCCATCTCTCAAGATTAATATAGAGGCAAGTGAGTTGCCGGCCAGCATACCACCGCCCATTGAAGAGAGTCCTAGCCTTCATGGCAGCCTCTATGCTGGAGTACTGGACATATACATTTCCCCTGAGGTGAGGACTGGTGTTGCAGCACACCTTGAACTGCAGGACAATTCCACATCTTTGGAATTCTGGTAGTGTGTCTTCAAAGAAATCCCTAAAAAATTAAGGAATACTGTCAGATGTGGAGGGAGCTCTAAATATATGTTTTAAAAATAGGAAATTAATATCAATCTTAACGCAAAGCTCCTGAGAGAATTTGGGCTGCGACTGGGCTTACCTCCAGGGCCTATTTCTGACTCAACCAGTGCATCGCACTCGCCCTCACACTAACAAAGTATTATCTTTTACGAAATAAGAGATTGCAGTTATATAAATGGCTGTTCCTCCCATAGCCTCAATACTTCCCTTCTGTGTGTCATACTTCACACTGGCAAAGCGTTATATGACAATGTGAGCAGCTGACAAAAGGAGACTAATAAAGTAAACTAGATTGAAAGGGTAATTACAGGTTCACAGCAGCAAGACAGCACAATTTTTTGATGCATAACATCTTCCAGGGAGAGCAAGGGAAATTATTTGTGTTAATATTACCCCTTTTATACAAAACAAGAGCAAATCAGAGTATTACATGTCCTGTTCTCTCTCAGCCAATGCCTTAGGGCATGTGATGAGTGGCCATGAGGATACCTTTTAAAGCACAGCATAAATTGTAAAGCATCATGGTAACATGACATGGATGATCCATCACCCTGTGCCATGCCCAAGTCAGCCATGACAGGAAAAGCACTTCATCCAGACCCACAACGAATTCAGTCATTACATGAACTACATATTGAACACAAGCACAAACACAGTAATGTGTACACAAAAATGAAAATGAAATCAGCCGCAGAACATTTTCTGTTCATACTGTAGCTGTTTTCATTTTCATGAACTACAAGTCATCCAGAGATAAAGAGTTAATACTCATAAAATCTGATGCATAAAAAAATAACATAACTTCTCTTTAATATCCAGAATGCTTTAAATCACTGCAAAATTATCCTACAAACACCTTGCCCAGTAGCTCCTAATGTGTATATACTTTATTCCTGAAATGAGAGTATTTTCATATGGCGTGATTCTCAGAATTAACACAGTTTACCAAAGCAGCTCTCTTGCAACAATTAGAGAATAGTACTGATCTAACCTCTCATTATCTGACATATAAATATCAAATAAAAAATGGGAGTACTCGTTCTAAAACATTCAGCAGACTCACCTGAAGTGCTGGTAGCTCTCTGAGTCTGAGTACTCAAGTGCTACATCTGAATCATGAATGTCAAGTGCTAAATGTTCTAGTCCGAAGTGGGAGTACATGTTGGGGAAAAGCAATGTCCGACTCTGATCTGGATAGTCATGATATCTTTAAAAGGAAAGGGGAAAGAAAGAAATTAAATACACAATCATAACTCTACAGAGCATTTTAGCATCTTATCCTGGCTAGAATTATTTTATGGAAAACCTACAAAAACAAAAGAGAGAGAGAGAGAGAGAGAGAGAGAGAGAGAGAGAGAGAGAGAGAGAGAGAGAGAGAGAGTGAGTGAGTGAGTGAGTGAGTGAGTGAGTGAGTGAGTGAGTGAGTGAGTGAGTGAGTGAGTGATGATGAGAGTGAGTGAGTGAGTGAGTGAGTGTGAGTGTGTGTGCATTTGTATCTATGTGTATGCATCTGTGTCTGTGTGTGTGTCTGTATCTGTGCTCATTTGTGTTTGTGTGTCCGTGTCTGTGTTTGGGTGTCCCTGTGTCTATGTGTGTCTTTTGCATGTCTTACTTGAAGAATACAGAAACAAGAAGTGCTCAGAGAGCGCATACCTCTGCCAAGGCAATAGGGTCACTGATGCAATAAAAATATTCCCACTTGAAGAATTACATTAAAACCACCCCTTTCTGAAGTATACAGGTGACACAGGTAAACATAACCTTTTTTGCAGAAGTAATAAAAGTACGATAATAATAGTTATCCCTATTGTCAAGGCAGTAGGGTTAACTATGCAATCATTTTAAAAATCATGATCATGATCCGGATCACCACTGAAATTTTATTGGCATCTAAGTTAGGCTAAGACAGACCTCTGGTAAAAAATTCATAAAAATCTGTTCATAACTTTTTGAGTTACTCTCCTAACCAACAAACTGACA